CCTAAAATTAAAAATCATAAATTCCTGTCAAAATTTTCTATAAATAGAGACGACTAGGTACTGAGTTTTGACCATTGTGAACAACTCATTTACGTCTTTGCTATGTAAGTCTTTTCTTTACGACTCAGTAACCAAATCTCATTCCTGTTCCTTCCACAGCCTGGACACCAGCCCCTTCGTGCGTCACACCTTCTGGTCAACTTTAGTGTTGGGTTTTAACTCGATGTTAAATTCCATGGCTTTCAACCAGTCATCATACCAGAGATTAGCCTCCGTCAGCACTCTTAAGGTAGCACAGAGGTAAGTTGATTTGTTTTAAGGTCTTATCTTTTTTACATTGGAACATACAGAGAATGCTAACTTTGAAATTTATGCAGAGAATGTTTCACCCATGAAAACATAGAGAAGGTCTCAGTTACAGTATAGAGGAAATGCAGCAGATCAACTCATATAGAGGATTACGACCAAGAAAACCGAAAGGTAAATACCACTAAGAAAAATATAAAATGTATAACACCCGGAAATTATACCACTTTGCAAAATATATTGAGTTTATGAATTCAGTATCGCCGTGCTTATGGTACAGTGTAAATAGGTCAACGCACTCTGTAGATTTCTGGAGTTCCAGGGCAAACTTCCGATATAACTTCCGATATAACTTCCGATATAACTTCCGATATGACTTCCGATATCATTACTCAAGGTGCAGTGAGGACAGAGGTGAAACGTTTTTGCACAATTTTCAGTTTGTTATTCGGTAGCTAAAGACTCAATTTCTCTTTTTTCAAATTTAAATAACGATGATCTGTAAGTTAGCACTGACAAGTAGTCCAAAAACTCAAACTTCTAAGAGTATCAGAACCTTCAACGCAGCTCATTCATACACAGATTTTTTCTAGGCCACCGAGACCAAGCATTGTGAAGATATTCTTAAGAGTCATTTTGAATCATAACACCTCTCTCAGAAACCTATTAATTATCACTAAAATTTTAAACAAATCAGAAGAAGAATAGTGGTTGCTGGTGCGCAAAACCTTCACACTAACTTAAAAAAAATGGAATTCATAACTATCAGAAATAACTGCACTACTTTTGTTTTTAAAGGAACCTCAAACCGCAAACACATTACCTAGGGTTCGAATCCCCTCCAGCTTATAATGAATTTAGCTACAGTCTTCCATTACCATTTTTCCGAGGGTATTGGCAGTGAGAGGACAAGAGGTAAACTTATTTGTGGTGCTGTTGGTGGTGGGGAATCGAACCTACAACAATCTTTGACCAGATGTCGAAATGTAGGCTTCTCCCTGAAAGCTGGCTGCCTTGGATCAAAGTCTAGCGCAAGCTGGACTCCAAGGTATTGGTCCATTGTGGGTAGATTGGTAAAGAACTGCGTACCTTGTTCCAAGGTTCGTAGATTCGAGTCTCCTTCAGCCAGAGATCAGTGTTTATTATATATATATATATATATATTATATATATATATATATATATATATATATATATATATAACACGTTTATTGTCTTCTTGAGGATGTGGGTTCCCATTCCAGCCATAGAGGTGGTACTTCCCTATATATATATATATATATATATATATATATATATATATATATATATATATATATATATATATATATATATATATATATATATATATATATTTATATATATATATAAACATTGATCTCTGGCTGAAGGAGACTCGAACCTACGAACCTTGGAACAAGGTACGCGGTGCTATACAAATCTACCCAAACTGGACAATACCTTGGCGTGCAGCTTGCGCTACACGTTGATCCAAGGCAGCCAATTTTTCATCTCATCCACTGCATGCATCAGCCTTACTAGAGATTTTAACAATGCAAGGAATTCGCAAGAGCAGGCGAAATATACACAAACACTGATCTCTGGCTGAATGAGATTCGAACCTACGAACCTTGGAACAAGGTATGCAGTGCTATACCACTCTACCCACACTGGACAATGCCTTGGCGTTCAGCTTGCACTAAACGTTGATCAAAGGCAGCCAGCTTTCAGGGAGAAGGTTTACAGCTTTTCATCTCATCCCCTGCATGCATCAGCCTTAATAGAGATTTTAACAACGCAAGAAATTCGCAAGAGAAGGCGAAATATACACAAACAGTGCTATACCAATCTACCCACACTGTGGGTAGATTGGGATAGCACTGCATACCTTGTTCCAAGGTTCGTAGGTTCGAGTCTCCTTCAGCCAGAGATCAGTGTTTGTGCATATTTCGCCTGCTCTTGCGAATTCCTTGCATTGTTAAAATCTCTAGTAAGGCTGATGCATGCAGGTAATGAGATGAAAAGCTGTAAGCATACTCCCTGAAAGCTGGCTGCCTTGGATCAAACGTCTAGTGCAAGCTGGACTCCAATGTATTGGTCCAGTGTGGTGAGAATGGTAGGTTCGAGTCTCCTTCTGCCAGAGATCAGTGTTTGTGTATATTTCGCATGCTCTTGCGAATTCCTTGCATTGTTAAAATCTCTAGAAAGGCTGATGCATGCAGGGGATGAGATGAAAAGCTGTAAACCTCCTCCCTGAAAGCTGGCTGCCTTGGATCAACGTGTAGTGCAAGCTGAACGCCAAGGTATTGTCCAATGTGGGTAGATTGGTATAGCACTGCGTACCTTGTTCCAAGGTTCGTAGGTTCGAGTCTCCTTCAGCCAGAGATCAGTGTTTGTGTATATTTTGCCTGCTCTTGCGAATTCCTTGCATATAGTAGGTTGGTAGACAGCAACCACCCAGGGAAGTACTACCGTCCTGCCAGATGCTGTAAAACAGAAACCTGTAACTGTTTTACATGATGGTAGGATTGCTAGTGTCTTTTTCTGTCTCATAAACACGCTAGATAACAGTGATATCTTGCTACTCCTACTTACAGTTGGTCACACTTCACAGACACGCACATGCATATATATATATATATAATATATATATATATATATATATATATATATTATATATATATATATATATATATTATATATAATATATATATATATATATATAATATATATTATATTTATATATATATATATATATATATTATATATATATATTATATATATATATATATATATATATATATAACATAGATCTGGTTTTTTCTCCTTTTTCTAAATAGCTTTGTTCTTCTTTATTTCTTCTATTGTCCATGGGGAAGTGGAAAAGAATCTTTCCTCCGTAAGCCATGCATGTCGTATAAGGCGACTAAAATGCCGGGAGCAATGGGCTAGTAACCCCTTCTCTGTAAACATTTACTAAAAAAGAGAAGAAGAAAAATTTTATAAAACTGGGGATGCTGAATGTGTGTGGATGTAGTGCGGATGACAAGAAAAGATGATGCTAATGTTATGAAATGAAAAGAAGTTGGATGTCCGGCCCTAAGCGAAACAAAGCTGGAGGGGGGTAGGAGTTTCGGTGGGGAGAAATTAATGGGATTAAAATTGGAGTATTTGAGAGAGTTATGAGCTAAGGAAGGACGGTAGCAATAATGTTGAAGGATCAGTTATGGAAGGAGAAAAGAGAATATGAATGTGTAAATTCAAGGATTATGTGGATTAAAGTAAAGGTTGGATGCGAAAAGTGGGTCATAATAAGCGTGTATGCAACTGGAGAAGAGAGAAATGTAGAGGAAGAGAGAGATTTTGGAGATGTTAAGTGAATGTATAGGAACCTTTGAAACCAAGTGAGAGAGTATTGGTGGTAGGGGACATTAGTGCTAAAGTAGAGAAACTTTTAGAGAGGGTGTGGTAGGTAAGTTTGGGGTGCCAGGTGTAAATGAAAATGGGAGCCCTTTGATTGAACTTTGTATAGACAGGGGTTTAGTTATAGGTAATACATATTTTAAGAAAAAGAGGATAAATAAGTATACAAGATATGATGTAGGGCGAAATGACAGTAGTTTGTTGGATTATGTATTGGTAGATAAAAGACTGTTGAGTAGACTTCAGGATGTACATGTTTATAGAGGGGCCACAGATATATCAGATCACATTTTAGTTGTAGCTACACTGAGAGTAGAAGGTAGGTGGGATACAAGGAGAATAGAAGCATCAGGTAAGAGAGAGGTGAAGGTTTATAAACTAAAAGAGGAGGCAGTTAGGGAAAGATATAAACACCTATTGGATGGGCTAATGAGAGCATAGGCAATGGGGTCGAAGAGGTATGGGGTAGGTTTAAAAATGTAATGTTAGAGTGTGCAGCAGAAGTTTGTGGTTACAGGAAGGTGGGTGCGGGAGGGAAGAGGAGCGATTGGTGGAATGATGATGTAAAGAGAGCAGTAAGGAAGAAAAAGATAGCACATGAGAAGATTTTACAAAGTAGAAGTGATGCAAGGTGGGAAGAGTATATGGAGAAAAAGAGAGAGGTTAAGAGAGTGGTGAAGCAATGTAAAAAGAGAGCAAATGAGAGAGTGGGTGAGATGTTTCAACAAATTTTTGTTGAAAATAAGAAAAAGTTTTGGAGTGAGATTAACAAGTTAAGGAAGCCTAGAGAACAAGTGGATTTGTCAGTTAAAAATAGGAGAGGAGATTTATTAAATGGAGAGTTAGAAGTATTGGGAAGATGGATGGGAATATTTTGAGGAATTGTTGAATGTTGATGAAGATAGGGAAGTTGTGATTTCATGTATAGGGCAAGGAGGAATAACATCTTGTAGGAGTGAGGAAGAGCCAGTTGTGAGTGTGGGGGAAGTTCGTGAGGCAGTAGGTAGAATGAAAGGGGGTAAGGCAGTAGGTAGAATGAAAGGGGGTAAGGCAGCTAGGATTGATGGGATAAAGAAAGAAATGTTAAAAGCAGGTGGGGATATAGTTTTGGAGTGGTTTGTGCTATTATTTAATAAATGTATGGAAGAAGGTTAGGTGTCTAGGGATTGGCAGAGAGCATGCATAGTTCCTTTCTATGAAGGCAAAGGGGACAAAAGAGAGTGAAAAAATTATAGGGGAATAAGTCTGTTGAGCATACTTGGTAAAGTGCATCGAAGATTTGTTATTGAAAGAATTAAGAGTAAGACGGAGAATAGGATAGCCGATGAACAAGGAGGCTTTAGGAAAGGTAGGGGGTGTGTGGACCAGGTGTTTACAGTGAAACATATAAGTGAACAGTATTTAGATAAGGCTAAAGAGGTTTTTGTGGCATTTATGGATTTGGAAAAGGCGTATGACAGAGTGGATAGGGGGGCAATGTGGCAGATGTTGCAGATGTATGGTATAGGAGGTATAAGAACATAAGAACATAAGAAAGGAGGAACACTGCAGGAGGCCTGCTGGCCCATACTAGGCAGGTCCTTTACAATTCATCCCACTAACAAAACATTTGCCCAACCCAATTTTCAATGCTACCCAAGAAATAAGCTCTGATGAGAAAGTCCCACTCAAATCCAACCCCTCCCACTCATGTACTTATCCAATCTAGATTTGAAACTACCTAAAGTCCCCGCCTCCAAAAAACCCAACTAGGTAGACTGCTCCACTCATCAACTACCCTATTTCCAAACCAATACTTTCCTATGTCCTTTCTAAATCTAAACTTATCTAATTTAAATCCATTACTGCGGGGTTTTCTCTTTGAGAGACACCCTCAAGACCCTATTAAATCCCCTTTATTAATCCCTATCTTCACTTATACACTTCGATCAGGTCCCCCCCATTTTCGTCTAAAAATGAATGTAACTTAAGAGTCTTCAATCTTTTTAAAAGGGAAGTTTTTCAAATGCTTGATTAATTTAGTCATCTCGCG